AAAAGCGCGGTCATGCTATTTTCCCCCCCCCCCCCCCCCCCCCCGACATTGAGCAAGGGGTCCCACAAGGTTGCACGCTGTCCCCAACATTGTTCCAGGTGTTCATCAACGATCTGTTGGAAGTCGTAGAGGCAGTCCGGAAAGGAGTAAAAGTAGGGGACACGGAAACTTCGGTGTCAGGAATGCTGTTTGCGGATGACTTTGTTGGTATGTCGGACACCCCTGAGGGACTGCAACTGCAAATTGACGCGGCGAAGAAGTTTACTGATAAGTGGAGATTGTCTGCCAACGTTACGAAGAGTGCCGTCATGGTATGCAACGAGGGCAGGGAGGAACCAGTAGAACATAGATGGAAGTGGGGGATCGAGGAGATTGCAGTAGTGGACCAGTACACATACCTCGGAGTAGAGATCGCAAAAGATTGCTCGTGGAATGCACACATGTCCAAGGTAGCGGAAAAGGGCAAAGCACGAGCAGGGAAGCTGCACCCAATACTCGCAAACCGGCACATTGATACACGCATCAAACTGACGGTTTTGAAGAGCGTAATCGTACCGCCGCTGGAGTACGCCGGAGAAGTATGGGAAGGAAATAAGAAGGTAGTGAAAGAACTCGAGGCGGCGCCGATGAAAGCAGCGAAAATCATCCTAGGATGCTCCAAGCGCACAAGTAATGCAGCAGTCAGGGCAGAATTGGGGATCCAATCCCTACGGTCGGGAAGAGACGTAAGGAAGCTGACATGGCAGTACCGCATGTGCGGGATGGGAGAGGAGAGGTTGCCGAGAATAGTATGGGAGGGGAAGTGGGCAAACAAAAAGAGGGGTAGACAACCCACGGAATGGGTCAGGGTTGTAGAGGACGTATGGAAGGGATTGGACATCGACGAAGATGAAACGCTGGAAACGGAGGGTCTACAGGGGTTCAAGAAGAAGATATCTGTTGCTTGTGCCGAGAGAGAAGAACAGAATCTAAGGAAAGAAACCAAGGATAAGGAGGGTCTAGAAGTGTACGGAATGTTGAAAGAAGGAATAGGGTTCAAGGATTACCTACATGGACCAATGGATGCAGGGACAAAGCTTAAGGTCAAATTCAGGACCGGGGACATAGGCCTTCGCGAACGTCGACGAAGACATAGGACGGTAGACGACGAAGACGACAAG